CCTGCGACAGAAAGCCAGCGCTCAACACTGTGTTTGTGTGTGTGCCGCAGGCGCCTTTTTTTTATTTTTGTTTTTCCCTCTTTTTTTTTTTTTTTTTTTTTTTGGGTGCACGTCTCTGGCGTTTCTCACGTTGCAAAGTCCAGTAAGTGGCCTTGGCGGTCTTCAAGGCGGTCTGCAACTTTGAATCCTGAGGCGCAGCACAGATGGATGTATGAAGCCAACCTGGATGAAAAGAATGAACTGGTGCACCAGACAGGCGTGCATATCAATGCATGTGGTGGGCAGACACTGTACTGTATCGAGTTCCAAGTGCAAATGGCCTGGTGTTGGAACTTGATGCTGCCAGCCAGACCCGATCAAGATTCGCTTGACAGCAGAGATCGACAGGCCAACTGCCAGCCACCACGGCCTGGTTGACGGCTGGGCCCACAGCCTCAGCCTACCGCCTGTCGTCGCCCAACAACTGCCCGTGTTGCCCCCATCAATGTGTGCGGCCCGTGTTCCATTGGCTGCATTCATCAGTATGTCTGGTAGAAGCCGACATGGAGTCTGGTTGCTCTGCTCCATCCCACCCCCGTCCCATCATCATCTCAATCGTCGAAACATCTCTGCAACTCATAGTCTTCTGAACACCACGACCCGGCGGATCCGTAACCGTCCCGCCGTTGCATCCTCCACTCGTGACAAACAACTGCGTCTACAGCCCCTTCTATCCGATTCAACAGACATATCCGCCGGCCCAGTTCCCGACCTGGTAGTCAAGCTGCCCGCTCCATCTCGCACCGCCATGCGGCGCCGCTGATCCGCGACCATGTTCTCCAATTTCACGAACATTGTGCAAAAGGCCCAGCAGCTCATTGACCCGACCCAAGGCCTCAATCTCTCCAGCTCCGATCGGAACCCTTCCAAGGCCTCCCTGTTCCAGAGCCAGTTCCGCTTGCCCTCCTCGCAAAATCCCCTCTACGAGATCAATGCTGAGCTTACCATCCCACCTTCCAATGCTACCCAGGGCGACAGAGACCACGATCGAGGATGGCATTACGCCGGAAAGCTGCATTTGTCCGAGTCGTACATGTGCTTTTCCACCACGCCCACAAGCTTCGTACAGACTGCTACCGCCTCGACGTCTCTGGCATTTACAGGACCGACCCATGGCGCGGGGCCAAGTGGGAATGGTTTCACGTTTCCTCTGTGCGCGATTAGAAGAGTTGAGAGACTAAATAGCCAAAATTTTCAGGTAGGAATGCCCTCATGCGCCACCGGGCATCATAGTAAAGCGGTGTCAACCAAGCCATCAGCAGGTGCTAACACGCCGCCTCCTCTTGACAGTTTGCACTTGCCATTACGACTTGGAATGGGCTGTTAGCAGATGGCCCTAAAGATAAAGACAGCAGCAAAGACGTTAAAGATGCAAAAGAACAACGAATCACGATCCATCTAGCCGGCTCCAGACCTGCTTGTGAACGGTTTTGCGATGGACTCAAGAGAGGTCTGAGAGCCGGTGTCGGCAACGTCGGCAAGCTCCGCAAGGTCGTTGCTGAATGCTACTCTGAACATCTCCTCCGATCGGAAGAAAAAAAGAATTCCAACCCGCCCGATGCCGGTCTTGGCATGGTGTTTAGGTATCCCGGCGATCCCAAGAAGCTGCGAGACAGGGCCAAGATGCGACTCTGGGCCGAGTACTTGCGAGACAATGGGAGAAATTCGACCCTTATACGCCAACCCACATTCCACAAGCTGATTCGAGTCGGCCTGCCAAATCGTTTACGAGGAGAGATATGGGAACTAACTTCGGGTTCGCTCTACTTGCGACTTGAGAAACCAACTCTGTATGCCGATACCTTGACCAAATTCGAAGGACAAGAGTCGCTTGCTATTGACGAGATTGAGAAGGATCTGAATCGAAGTCTGCCCGAATATCCCGGTTTCCAAAGTGAGGAAGGTATTGGCAGGCTTCGCAGGGTTCTTACTGCATATAGCTGGGTGAATCCTGATGTTGGATACTGCCAGGCCATGAATATTGTCGTGGCGGCGCTGCTCATCTACATGTCAGAGGCTCAGGCCTTCTTCCTACTCTCGTCTCTTTGCGATCGTCTTGTCCCCGGCTATTACTCCACAACCATGTACGGCACGTTACTGGACCAAAAGGTGTTCGAGTCGTTGGTGGAAAGGACCATGCCGATTCTCTGGGAACATTTAGTCAAGAGCGATGTCCAGTTATCAGTTGTCTCGCTGCCCTGGTTCCTGTCCTTGTACATCAACTCAATGCCCTTGATATTCGCTTTCCGCGTATTAGATGTCTTCTTTGTGGAAGGGCCAAAGGTGCTGTTCCAGGTCGGCCTAGCGATCCTGCGCATAAACGGTGAAGAGTTGCTGGATGCCGCTGATGACGGCGCATTCATATCCGTCCTCAAGGCGTATTTCTCCAGGCTGGATGAGTCGGCTCACCCCAAATCCGAGAACCCCAAGCTTCGAGCGGTCACCCGTTTTCAAGAGCTCATGGTAGTTGCTTTCAAGGAGTTCTCTGGCATCACTCACAGCAGCATCACCGAGTTGCGACTAAAGAAGAAGGATGCGGTCCTCAACAACATTGAAAATTTTGCCAAGAGAACGGCAATTCGAAACTTGGGCCCCGACAGCAAGCTGCTCAACACAGATGAGCTCGGTGCCTTGTATGACAGGTTTTATAGTGTATTGTACGAGCGACAACAGCGAGACCTCATGATTCAGGAGGAGCAGAAGCGCCGGGCCAAGACAAGTAGAATGCGAGCTTCCGAAATCTTTTCCTCTGCGCCTAACCAGGTGGAAAAGGGCCGCGTAGGCCTAGGCCCGAGCACAAATCTTATGGATTACGACGCATTCAGAGAATTCCTTGCCAGCATGTGTAAATGGGCGTTGTCTGATTCCCCTGGAAACTCAAGAAGGGACACCATGACTGGAGACGATAAATATCCCAAGTTTAATACTGCTCGGAAATCTCCAGGTCCCGCGTCCCCGTGGGGTGCTGGCCCGGAGCCCGCAGAGCATGAGTTTCTGCGGCGCCTGTACAAGAAGTGGGATGTAGACGGAAACGCAGCTCTGACGCTGCAAAATGTTGTCACAGGATTGGCTGGTATCAAGGGCAAGAGAGACATCATGGGCACTATTACCTATTTTTTCGAGCTCTACGATGATGATGGTGATGGCAAGGTTGACCGTGAAGGGATATTACGCATTTCCGAGGCATTGCTGTTCCTATCACGACGTGGGCTCGAGGGAACACTCAGCCCCAATGCATCAAGCCTTGCGCTGAACGGTGAAACTGGCAGCGCAAATGAGTCTCAGGCAAGCTTACCAGCGAGTATACCAGTCAATGAACGGTTCCTCGGCAGTGTGAGCGCCTTCATCCGCCGCTGCTTTGAGTACGCCGATCCGGATCACCCCCAGAACCAGAATACAAGCAACGCGTCACAAGACGCCGAGGTGGACCAGAATTCGTTTGCCATAGGGGATGATGAAGACGAAGAGGATCTTCTCGGGCTGGAGTCTCCATCGGGGTCGCCAAAGGAAGCGAAGAAGACGAACGAATTGTTACCAGGCGGGGAAGCGCCAGCGGATGACACCAACGACGAGTCGCGACGCAAGGTCTCCAAGGCCAAGTCGGAAGCTGCCAACGCCGCACTGAACCCAGCGCAGCCTTTGCATATGACGCTACCAACATTCAGAATGGTTGTACTTGCTGACGAGCTCCTGGAGCAGTTTTTTGAGTCTTCCTTCCCTTTCTCATTCCACATCATTGAGGGTCTTCAGAACGCAGCAGTAACACCGCAAAGCTCGTCATTGACAACCTTTGCCAGCCTGGGCTTTGGTTCTAAGCCGCCTCTTCCCGTTCAGCCTGGACCGCACGGAGCAGGACGCGGCTTGCGAGGCGTGCTGGACAACATTGTAACGGACGGGATGCGGGTAGCAACCGAAGTACGCCGGCGCATGGAGGAGGCGCAGAAGGAACTCGAGAAGAATGCGCTTCCTGGGCAGCGACCTGAGGACGATGAGGAGGACGACGATGATATT